GTGACTAATATTTTGAATTACTATCTAATGAAGTTTTATAACTATTTCTACTATAAACGAAAGTTGATTTCCAAAACAGAGAAAAGCATAAGGATAACAGGAATTCCAAAATCAAATATCAACCAAAAACATCTTAAGTATACACAATTAATGTCGTCGCGACGAGTGTTGACATTCCAGTAGTAGCATAATACCAGTTGAATTAACTTTCTGTAATTCTTTTATCCTTTTATCATTGAAACCAGCTCCCATACCAATAACACCAAAAGAAATTATTAACACAAGTACTTCAAAAAAGTGATCCCATTACCCATCTACAAAAGCTTAACAAATAACAGAACTAGAATACATTAAAACACAATATAAAATACAAAAAGTGTAAAAGCAAAATAAAAAAAATACAATTCGATTCATGAAAAACGTCGAGAAGCTTGGAACTACAAATCTTAATTTCGATTATGAGAAGAAAAGCCTGGCTGAATTATCGAAATAAGCAGGCAAATCTCACAACAAAAATTCGAAGTCGCTGGAGAAGTGGTCTGCAACGTCGAGGAAGTGGTATGTCTTTGGGTTTAGGAATTGATTGTTAATTGGGATGAAGTTTTGGAAGAACTTACTGCACGGGGAAGAGAAATAACAAGAGGAGTTTGGGAAATTTTGATCGGGAAAAAGAGTTTTGAAATTTTGATAAAGGGTTTGGAAAAGAAAAGAAATAGAAGAAAGGGTAATACCATCTTTTCATATTAATTTTAATAAAGTAGTGACTACTTTTGCTTAGCATAAGAAATACCGGATAAAAAATAAATATCACATTAAAAAATGGCTATGCCACGCTATTTGTATCAATTTGACTAATACTAGTATGGATAATAAGGGGAGCAACTGCCACGCAAGCGCGCGAATCACCTTCGGTGAAATTTCCATTTGAAAATTCCACCGGCAAAAGGAAATGTCCCTAATTCACTTGAAACCGCCGTATTACGGCAATTGGCCGCCGATTCGCCACCACAAACTCACCGTCCCCTACCAATCCACCAAACCAATTAACATCTTCAATTTCCCCATTTCCACCCCCGCTTTATCAATCAAATCATCATTGCCACGCGCCCCTGCGAACTCCGGCAAGTTCACCTCTTTAGCTCCTCTTAAACCCTATCTCCAATCAGAATGGCAACCGATCCTCTGCGGATGGATATGTAGTGCAATTTCCGTTTACTCTCTCTCCAAAATCGTTCCCAAGATTGGAAAATTCTCGTCTCTCATGAATCCCTTAGATGTTGTGAGGCTGAGAGAGGAGTTTTTTGTTTTAGGCGTTTTATTTGTCGTTCGACTCGTCAGTAATTATCTGCAGCAAGTGTTTCTTTGGGAAGCGGCGTTGAATTGTGTGTATAAGATTAGAGTTTCTGTTTTCCGTAAGGTTTTGGGGAGAGATTTAGGGTTTTTTGAAGGAGGAAGTGGGATTGCTGCTGGAGATGTTGCCTATAGGATTACTGCTGAGGCTTCTGATGTTGCTGATACTGTTTATTCTCTCTTGAATGTGAGTTGAGAACATTGATGCTTCACGTCCCAGTATAGTGTATATATTAGAGGTTCACGTCCCAGTAGCTTTGGTTTATACCCTGCACATGTAGTGGGGTGTGTGTATAACATTTCATTAAAATTGAATAAATAATAGATATAAACCCATAACTTCAAAAATATAATAGGTTCAACGAGAAAAACCTGAAAGGTTGAACCCGTAGAGCTTAAATGATGGATGTGACTCTGTTATATGTGACTTCGGTAAATAAATAATAGATTTCAAACTCGAACCCAGAAAGTTCAAATTTTGAATCCGCCTCTATGGTACTCCCAACTAACTACCAAAAGCCATGGGAGCATCCGGTTCTGTATATTTTATAATGTTGAACTGTGTGAACTGCATTAAGATAATGATACTTTGGTACCCCCAACTACCAAAGCCCTGGGAGCATCCGGTTCTTTATATTTTATGCTTTTGAACTGTGTGTGAACCACGTTATCTAAAAGTTTAATTGGTTAGAAGGGGACACTTTTACTTATTTGTTGTGCTTGTAACTACTCTATTACGATTTAACTATCTTGGATCAAGTATGTGAAATATTTGTTTTGATGGGTGGAATGTCATACATAGGATTTGAACATGTGACCTAAACATTGAACCCTTTAGTACTACACTAGACTAGAATCTTCACTTATGTCAAAAGGAATCAACAATTTATATATAACTAAAGAAATTTGTTTTTCCCTATTTTAATAGTATAATTTTCCGGAGGAAGGGATTCAACTGAACCCCTTGCTTGAACCTAGCTTCGGCCCTAGTGGCCATAAGATTTGAACTCGGATGTTTATTTTATGTTTGCAAGATGTCCTTTACTTGTGGTGTGATTCCTTTTCCTGGACTAAGCACAGAGAAATAATTTTGTTGAAAAGTGTTCATTGGACTCAAAACTTGTGAGTCCTATTAGTACCATATCGAACAATTATTCATGAAAAGTTTAAGCTGTTAGAGAAAGGACACTTGTACTTTTATGTATTCAGTAAACCCCTTCCCTTCTCTTTCTAAATCATGTGCTTTGTGATTTACAGACGATTGTTCCAAGTAGTCTTCAGTTATCAGCAATGGCAATTCAGATGTTGGTCATCAGCCCTGTTCTATCATTACTTTCTGCCTTGGTGACAAAAGATGCATTAGTTCTTGTCTTCTATATTTATGAATTATTTATGAATGTTGGATGAGTTTATATTGAATTTTGATGGGTGTCATTTAAGGTGATTCCATTGATGGGTTTTGTGATTGGTTACTTGGGCGAAAAACTTCGTGACGTATCAAACAAGGCACAACTTGCTGCTGCTTCTCTCTCTTCCTATCTGAATGAGGTAAGTGTTTTTGGTTTGGATTTCCTTTTCCTTAAGCATATCAATGAATCTATCAACTAGCTTCAATTCAAAACTAGTTGGGTTTATCCATATGAATTCTCTATATCATTCTGCGTTATTGAGGGGCCATCTCATTCCAATACGATTATTCGTCAAGCACAGTTGCTTCTTAGTTTTCATAAGTGTGTATTGGTTTGGTATACCTCTTTGGTTTTCCAAAATGTACATATATGCTCACGGGCATTCCAACACATGGAGAAAACTTCTTCCACCTTCTCCCCTCTTTTCGAGCTTCTTATGTTCTATGTACTCTCTTCCTTATATTCAATGAATCAAGCTTTCTATGCCAATTGAAGCCAAATTGCTCTTTATTACAGATCCTTCCATCAATTCTTTTTGTGAAGGCAAACAATGCAGAGTCCTGTGAAAGCAAAAGGTTCCAGTCACTTGCTTTTGCTGATCTATCCGCGACTATGGGAAAGAAGAAGTTGAAGGCATTTATTCCTCAGTTGGTACAAGCAATATATTTTGGCGTCTTATTCACATTTTGCGCTGGCACGCTGGTAGTATCAAAAAGTTCTTTTGATTGCTCTGCCATGGTTTCTTTTGTAACATCCCTAGTTCTGTTGATCTCCCCAATCCAGGTAATGGCTTCATTTATCGGAAGGATTATGTTTCTGTATTTTCAATCGATTTTGAATTGCCTCCTATCTTTGGAATAAGATGAATAAGGTTATATTACCTTCATCCCATGTATATAGCACACTTCTATCTTGAATTGCCTCCTATCTTTGGAATAAGATGAATTAGATGCAGCATGTTCAAAATTTTCAACAAGCAGTTTCTGTCTGCACTAGTTTGACTTATTTGCTGCTTTGCTGTCACCTTTGCTCTTCTCTTCTGCCAGAGTCTACCTCCAACCATTTGACCTGTTATGTGTAAAGCTTTGGAGCCATAGATTGTGGTTGGCTCTTTGCAGATATGGGACAAATGCTGCTGGATGGGGTACTCCTGCTAAACGCTTTGTGATATTTATTTACTTATATGTTTTATTGGGCATTAACCAACATTTATTTCTCTTTAGGACACCCTTTTATTTCATATCTCATCGCTTTTGGGTTAAGAATTGTTTCTGTCATGTTTTCTAGTATCAAATGATAAGTTCAAACATCTAACAAAGCTTCAAGAGTTCATAAAATTCGTAGAGATCTAATCTTTAATTTTCTCCAATTAGACTGAAGTATTAGTACTTGTGGTAGGGTGCAGGCTGAATTTCCTATATCAACTAAGACTACGGCTAAGTAATCATGAAACTCTAGCTTGCTCAAAAAGGCTTTGAAGCTGGTAAATCCATGAATTAATTAAAAAAGAAATAAGGCACCCCAATAATGAACAGATGTAACCAATGACAGAGTTTCTGAGGTTGGAATGTGGTAAAGGCTCTAGAGGGGAGCTCAATACAAGGAAAGGAATTTGTGTTATCATGATATTCTTGTTTTCCTTCCAAATCATATATAGGATCTTGTATGATGTCAAAAGGGGGTATTTGCAAGGAGATGAGTAAGTGGCTTAATGTATAGTTGTATATGGATTGCATCCGCTGAATGCTTTTCTGATAAATTATTTATTATAAAAATATATAAAGCATGCTACTGATATTTTGCTTCTGTCAAAACTCAAAAGTAACGGCAAATCACTGTATGCTCTCTTTTATGCCTGCTGTTTTGAGTGTGTTCTCACGTGGGGGACTCTTTTCCTGCATTGCTAAGTGCGGAGAATACCTCCAAAAGATTGAATCGGAATGTGTTGCGACAAATTTAGTCAGCTCAAATGATCAATTATTAGATATTCTTACAAAATCACTGTGTATTCATAATTGAGTATATCTGCAAGTTAGGAGCATACAGGATGTGCTCTCCAACTTGAGGACGAACGTTAAGAATGTCAATATTAGAAAGTGGGTGCAAATCTTGGAGACTAAAGTTCAAATCCCAGAAGAGACAAAAAACACTTTGTGATTTTTTTTTTTGGAAAGGAAAACAGTGTGATTTTTTCCGATCCGATTAAGCCTTGGTGGGCTTAGTTACTCGGTGCCTGTACTGTTAGGAGGTAGAAGGTACCTAGAAGAAAAGTTGATGCTCGTACAAGCTGGACGGGCTCTACCTTTATCAAGAAAAAAGAATGTCACTATTAGGAAATTGTAAAGATGCAAGAACCCATACCTTATAAATGTGGTAATGTTGAGAATTCATGTGATTATGTAGTTAGGTGTTGGAATCACATACTTACCCCTTTTAGATTACTGGAAGGCACTATTTCAACCCAACATGATTGAGGGAATGAAAAGCAATTCTTTCTCAATATCTCTTCTTTCTCACATTCTTTACAAGGCTACAAATATGAAAAATGCTAACGAATGAAAAATGAAAATATACTAGCCACAGTTTTCTTTTTCCTAGTAAAATGCTGTGCACTTGAAGAGTTAGAATGTTTGTATCAAAAGGAGAAACTTTAAGGAGCTCGAGATGAGATCAAAGTAGAAAGTTGCTAAAAGATAAAGGAAGCAAGGACCAAGTAATTAGAACTGTCCGATGTTCTTATAGAATAAATATACGGAGATTTACTTGAGAGTCTAGGACTGCGTACAATAGCTTCGTTCGGTTTTTGGGCATTAGGATAAGAATAGAGCAGCACAACCTTCAAGTAACATCAACCACGAGATAATGTTACCTTATAAATTGCAGATATAAGTACCAAATTATCCAGGTACCTGAACTGAATGAAGTAGAACAGAACTTAGTCAGGAGGTCATTGTCACATCAGAAGGCGTCTATAGGAAGCTTTGAATAATACTGTGAATCACTCAAAACTTTCCTCAAGAGAAGAAGCTTCTTTCGAGCCTGAAACTTCATAAATTTGATTAACTTCTCTCTCTATTTAAATTGGAAGTGACTTTACTTTTATGTTTCTCTTTCCTCTCTTTGGCTGTCTGTTGTTGTTTCTACTTCTTGTTCTGCTAGACTTCTCCCATACTGCTGCGATTTCTTATTATGGCTCAGCATGTGGAGCAGTCTTAGCTATCAATCTGAATCAAAGAGTTGTGCAGGATGCAGGGAAAGCATACAACGAATTAAAACAAGGAGAGCCAGCAATTCAGCGCTTATTTGGTTTGACAAGCTTTGAACCTGAGGTAAATACTTTTTGATTTCTAAGGAAATGTTTATACTCGTGATTCTTTTTCCTTAAATATGATGGTCCAATGCTAGTTATGACTTTGGTAATGGCATGTAGGATGGAGATCAGCAGAAGTAGAATTAGGCTCCTGCGTAAGTTACCGTTCAAAATAATTTATCCTTCCAGCCTACCTGAAACCAAAATATAGACGCTGTCAGATTTAAGAGTTGAATACTTACAACTGCTACCATTAATGTGGTTATTGCAAGATAGATAATTATCATCTTCTACTCATATCAAAAAAAGATTGCCCTCCCATGGCCACCAATTTCAGTTCTATCTATTTTTCATATTTCTTCTTAGAATTTAGAAAGCTCCGTCCTATTAGGTGGTCTGTTTACACTTTGCTTCTTTCACCTTCTACATTGTATCAATGGGAATTTATTTTTTGGAAATTGGAAGCAGTTCTTGAATATTATTCAAAAATATTTACCCAGTATTCCACCAATTAGTAACCCAAGATTGATTGATCTTGGCTAACATAAAATTTCTACAACAACAAGCCCAGTGAGTTCGTTCCCACAAGTGTACGTAGACCTTACCCCTATCCTGGAGGGCAGAGGTTGTTTCCTATAAACCCTTGTCTAAAGACAAGATGAAAAGAATTAGTGGCGACAGGTGGAAACAACGACAAGGTATCAGGAAAACTAACTAAAACGAAAGAATGCAACCGAACAGTAAATAGTACCATCAATCCTAACATAAAATTTCGAAATTCCTTTAATATAGGTTGCTTCTATGTTAAACATCACTGCAATGAGTGTTGGTATTGTAACTTTCAATTAGAAATTCAGAATCAGACTATTAAGGTGTGCCTGAATATCTACTGTGTATAATTGTACAGGAAATTGTGAACCCAAATGCTGTTGACTTAGATTGTGCTGCTGGAGAAGTAAAATACTTTAATGTCTCTTTTCGATATGAAGACAATGGACCTCTTGTATTGAAAAACTTGGACTTGCATATTAAATCTGGAGAAATCGTTGCCCTGTGTGGACCATCAGGAGGAGGAAAAACGACTCTTGTAAAACTCCTGCTTCGCCTATATGATCCTTTACAAGGTTAGCAGTTTTGTCATTGCAAGTGGTCATCAACGATGAATATGAAAGTTATCTTTTGTTGTCGCATGACAAAGTTTAGTTACTCACTGACAGGTTCTGTTCTGATTGATGGTTTGGATATTAGAGGCATACGGTTGGAGAGTTTGAGGAGACATGTTGGTCTGGTCTGTCAAGATACAGTAAGTCCAAGCCTCTTCCCCTCTTCAGAACCATGATATGTTGAATTCTTTTGCCTTAATTATTTCCACATATTGCTAATCCTTTATTTATGGTAAGTTGCTGTAGTGTTCAAGATATTTGATGCTTATGCATTTCACTGTCGAATGGAAGATGGAGTAGCCGTGTTAAGTTTTTTCCATTTTCTTTTGTTAATGTGCAATTATATATGGTGGATTTGGGGGTTGGGAGTGGGAATTCATTGGCGGTTACTAGTTTAAAAACCTACTTCTTAGCACGATTCTCCTGTTTCATTCCTTAATTCAAGCCTTTCAACTTAAAAGTTTCATGCTCTATAAAATAAAAAGCTGCCATATTTGTGGAGAACTAGCTACAGGGGTTTTCACCAGAATCACCTGGCAGTACTGGGGTAAAGCAGTTGATTGCTATCCTCGGCGTGAAGGGCAATAATTGGGGACTCGAATACTTTTTTAGAGCCGATAGAGGTTCAATGATCAGATTGTTGCTAAAAATGAGGTTTTTACACTGCAAGAATCTAGTCAAAGGAGAGGACTTTTAGACAAGTCATCTAAAGATTCTCTAAAGAAACAATTTTCCATGGCTTGTTAACCTAAATTTGAATTATATACTGCATAGTTTTCAAATGAGGGGACTCTTTCCTCTAGTTAGCTATAGTCTTTGATTTTTCTCTAACATTTATTTCATAATTTCTTCTTTGTTCCCCGAGACATTAAGAAAAGTTGTCGCGTTAAGTTTAGAAAACTTTCTTAGCGAAGGGAGTATATGTTAGAAGAGTGCTTCTCGATTGATGTGAAGTCCAAGTTGCCTCCACCCCCCTTGTTTTCCCTTTGGTTCTTGCCTTCTGTGTGCTTCAGTGTGATTTGAGGAGCAGCTACTTATTAGCCAACTAGAACATAGCTCAAGGAGCTGTGATGGAGATATGGAATGCAAATATTCTTTGAAACTCTGAAGAATCTAAAAGTTCTTGTGATCTGGGATGAACTTTTCCTAAAATCGTGAATGTCTCTCTGAAAAGTGCATGCCTGAACAGTGCCTGAACCCTAGGTCTGCTAATGCATGCCTGAACAGTGCTTTCTAT